TTGTTAGTTTTGAAAAGTAATTATTATATATAGATTCTGTGTATTGTTCCCTAAAATTTATATAAAATAAAATGAGCCCAACACTCCAAAGGCTGACACAGAGTTTTGTGAAGAAACACGAGTTAAAGCTCAGGATTGCCAAGCGGGTTAGGCTTCTTCCCAGAGATATTAGCAGTTGATCCTGTACCCAAGCGGAGCTGGCGGCTATGATTTCCACATCAAATCATAAGACACACGTGTCAAGATTCATTTACAAGCAGAAAAAAATTATTCGATGCCTCATTGTTCAATATTCAACCTTTCAATTCTATATCTGAAAACAAATTGTGAATCTAGATAATGGCAAAGGAGGTTCTGCATTTCGTGTTGAACACCGGAGCAAAAACCCCCTCAGTCGGCTTGGCACGTGGCAGGCAGACCCTGGTGTCGTCGGTCGAGCTGTTGAAACCGCCATCAAGGTCGCCGATCGCCGCTCTTTCTACATACATATGTACACCATATATGCGTATGGAGTTAATCTAATCAACGGCCACTGAATTTTGCAATGGTTTCTCCTTGCTCATCAATCTTTAAAAAGTTATTCCTCACCGATTTTTGCTATACATTACTGTTCACTGATTTTTGCTATATATTACTGTTCACTCACCGAAATTTAAAAATTTACTCATTGCTCACCTAAATTCGAACAAAATTACTCATTCCTCACTTAACTTTGCTATGATTAACAATTATGGTAATGATACGGGTGATTAATGAGTAATTTTATTCAAATTTGGATGAGTTACAAGTAACCTTTTAAATTTCGAATAGCAAGTAGTAACATATAACAAAGTTCAATGAAGAAAGAGTAACTTTTTGAATTTCGATGTTCAAGTGGTAACCTATAACAAAATTCAGTGATCATTGGTTAAATTAACCCTATGCGTATGCGTTTCTTCGTGTGTTTTAACATTTATCTTCAGTGGAATTTAATTGAACTTGTATATTTTTTTTAATGAGAAATGCTATTCATCACCTGTCTATGTGGCGTTTATCATTTAACCAATCATTTACATCCACATATACTGGGGATGAATGACATTTTTCTTTTTTAATTTAACTTGTATGTGGAAATGTATATTTTATTTTTATTTTTTCATGAACGTTTGCATATCGAAATGTCCTTCATTATATTATAATTCTGAATGTATAATGAGATTATTTAGGACATTTAGAGTTGTGTGGATTTAGTTCAAGTTTAAATTTAGAAAATGTTATGGAGTTTGGTTCCACTCCAATTTCAGTGATTTGTTTGGAAAAAAATTAGGACACAAAAATGAAATTGGAGGATG